CCCAGATCTCTGTTCCTTGCTACTGGGTAGACGTTTTATATTGATCCAACAACCCCTGTAACGTGAGCACTTGATTTAGTCTGTGAGACTTTCTGCTCTGGCCCCTGGGAGTGTCTGGCTGGAGTGCACTAGACTCCATTACTGCCTCCGAGTAGTTTCCCACATGACATATTTTCCTTGGCACCAGACTTTCTTTTGAGAGACGAACCTGTTGGTATTCCTCTACAAATCCATCAAATTGGTATTATGTTGCACAAGAGAGCAATAAAAGCTTTTTCCCTGCATTTTTCTGGTGAAAGAAGCTCGATACCTTGTTAGTGTTTGAAGAACTAGTAATTTCATATGAAATTGCAGCCTTTCCTTCCAAGCGATTGCTAAAAGCTACATTTCCTGCTGCTACCTGGTCTCCTTTTATTTTATCATCACGGGGTTTAGGGTTGTTTGCGGGTTTTTTTTTTTTTTTAAATAATTCTCAGCACACCAGTGGTGGCCATTATCCTGTCTAGGCTAGAGACAGAGCCACCCCCAAAATCAGCAGAAACCCAAGTTCATAGGGACAGTGGCTACGGCCAGCACCTGAAGACCGCCCCTGCCCAGCCACATTCTTTTTCTCTCTTCTCCTCCTCCGCCTTCCCTTTTCAGCTTCTTGCATTTTTTACCACAACCCTCTATTTCCCATCTCAGGAACCACATGTAAATCCACTTGAGGCTCTACTCCGAATTCTCTCTCTGCTCTAAAAACTGAGGTTTTTTTCACTAGGCCAAGTTTGCCTCCTGGGCCTCCCAGAAAATGAGATCTCCCCTGGGAGATTCTCAGTCCTTTGTGTACCCAAGCCCCTGGCAGACTGGCCTCACTACTCAGGCAGGGCTGTATTAATCTGAATGCCACTGGTAGACAAGTCTTACCTCAAGCACCAACCTTTTACCATACGTTCGTAAAATGAAGTCTTAAGACTCAGGGGGAAAGCCTTGTAACAGGCTTATTCTGTTTGGAGAAGGAGTCAGGGGAAATTGTGGTCTTTTTCCCCTCATGTCCTTCTAGTTCCCACGGTCTTACTCCGGGCTCTCTCTGGCAACGAACACCATCTTGTGTTTCCTTCAACAGAGCTTGAAGGAAAATCTCCGGTTCTTCAGAATGAAATAGCTACAAATTTTTTAAAAAGAGAAATCTTTCAGGGCAGCCTGGCTGGCTCAGTCAGTTGAACGTCTGACTTCGGCTCAGGTCATCATCACACAGTTCCTGAGTTTGAGCCCCGCATCACGCTCTGTGCTGACAGCTCGGAGCCTGGAGCCTGCTTTGGATTCTGTGTCTCCCTCTCTCTCTCTGCTCCTCCCCCACTCGCTCTCTCTCTCTCTCTCTCAAGAATAAATAAAACATTAAAAAAGAGTGAGAAAGAGACAGAAGTGTTTCTCCTGCTAATACCACCTGCCAGAAAAGGGTGAGGGAGAAACACCAGTCATTCCACAATCAACCTGAAGTATAAAGAACCAAGGTTTACGTTTCTTGTACGAATGTAAAGACAAGCTTTATACTTCCTACCATCCCTCTGCGTCAGCAACCAACCAACCAACTAATCAACGAGCAAATAAACTGGCAAACAACAAATGGCATGCACTGGATCCTGAAACTGGGAAGCCCGGGGGAAGGGAGGCCCTTGACCTGATCTCATAAGCGCTCTTGCTCCGTTTTTCCACCGTCCTCCCGGCTCTCCTCTCTTCTGGGTATGGACTCGGTCTTCAGGCTAGCTACTCTCAGAACAAGATGGCTGCCCCCAGCAACCAGACCTGCAAGCTTCCCTGTTCACTTCCGGAGGAGTAACCCTGCTCACTCGGGGAGGGCAGTGCAAGACAAAAGTTGAGAGCTTCACACGGATTGGACCACCCCCTGACAAGGATAAAAACTATGCACTGATTGGCTTCCACCAGGGGTCCCTCAACCAACCCCTGTGGCATGGAAGATGAGATTCCCCGCTAGGGATAGGCAGCTGGAGGTGTAGGCCGTTGCACCAAAACTGAAGGGCTGCTCTACAGAAGGAACAGCCGCTTCCCAAAGAAAAATTTGAATACTATTAGGAGGATGAAAGAAAGGGAATGGATGGAGTATAGGCAACAAACCGTGTGTGCTGCACCCACGAGGTAAAATCTTTCACGGCATGTAGGTGCTCCATAGATCTCTAATAAATGTGTTGTTTCATGAAATTTTATCAGCTTGTTTACCGTAAGTCCACTATGTGCTTACTGAAAGTTATTGAAAGTCACTTATCTCCTGTTGCCTTATGGCAACACTAAGCACTTCAGTGATAAGATGGAGTCAGTTCAGAGACATGAACACAATCCTGCCCCCTGCTCCTCAAATGCAAACTGTTAAGAATGACTATTTAATGTTTTGATTTAACTACTGGCTGTTGAATTCAAAGACCTGCCACTCACTTAAGAACAAGGTATTTCAGCAACTCTCAATACCTTTCTCGCTTAATCTTATTTCCATGCTGTGTTCCTTTCAAAGTTAATTTCCTGCTCTAATACCACGTGATGCAGCCTTCCCAAATTCATTTCTGAGTGTTTTCCACATTTCAAGCACACTTTTCTATCAGAGCCAAGTAGAATCAAAACTCAGGGGATATGGCCTTTTATTGTTTCATTATCATTCAACGAATCTTTCCCAGCAGTCCTCTGGGGTCTCTGCTGTATCTTTTGCCAGCTGCCGAGCAAAGGGTCTCAGTATGTTATTTTGTACTACTACTCTCTGCTCAGTTATAATGCAGGGTTGGATCAGAATATCTGCAATTTGAATTCTAGTTCCTTGACTAATTCACCATGTTTACACACATCAAAACTTCTTTCTCCGGAGAGCACGCAGCTAACTTTTAGCGTGTAGCTTCTGCCTCAATAGTAAAAGCAATGTGATTTCACAACTGGTTCCAGATACATGGTTAGAACCAGTTTTCTCTAAGGTGGCCAAAGGTTTATGATCGCCCTTGCAAACAAGACCTGTTTGAACTATAACATCTGACAGGAGCTGACTGCTAATTTCAGTTTCTTGTAAGAGCTGGGGTAGAGGTCAGGGGACAGGGATAGAAAATGTGTATTAAAACGTACCTAGAGGGCACGTGCTTGGCTCAGTCGGTTAAGCGTCTGACTCTTGATTTTGGCTCAAATCATGATCTCGGAGTTTGTGAGTTTAGGCCCACATCAGGCTCTGTGCTGACAGTTCAGAGCCTGCTTGGGATCCTCTCCCTCCCTCTCTCTCTGCCCCTCACCTGTACCCTCACTCTCTCTCTTTCTCTCAAAATAAGTAAACTTAAATTTTTTTCTTTAATAAAATTTTTTTTAATTTTTTTTAATGTTTATTTATTTTTGAGAGAGACAGAGACAGAAACAGAGACAGAGCATGTGTGGCAGAGGAGCAGAGAGCAAGGGAGACACAGAATCCAAAGCGGGCGCCAGGTTCTGAGCTGTCAGCACAGAGCCCACGCGAGGCTTAAACCCATGAACCGTGAGATCACGACCTGAGCCGAAATCAAGAGTTAGATGCTTAACCACTTAACTGACTCAGCCACCCAGGTGCCCCAGTTGAAGAAATTGTTTAAAATGTAAATTGAGCTATGGCATCCCATGGCTAAATCCCTTCAAAGGCTCACTCGTTCTGCAGCAGTGGTTCTCAGACTGTTCAACTTGCAGACCAGGATAATTGCTTTTTCATATTATAACTTACCAATGAAGATGCCAAATTTGCATGCTAAAGAAGGACAACAACAAAAAACCTATCAAAATCCTTTGATAAAAACAAAAGGATAATTTAAAACTACACACGCAATGTAATCCCAGGAAAATGGACAGTCACTTCCATTGAATAAATTTAGCTTTGTGGAAAAATTCTATACATCCTCAAAGCAGTGAGAATTTGGCCTCACATTGGCTCCAGTCTGCAGAGTCTACATGGGCAAGGCATCTGTGAGCAGGCTCCTGACTTCAGCCTCAGCCTCAGCCTTACCAGCCTACACTCCAGCAACTCTTCACTGCGCGTAGTTCACCCACCCACCACCACCCTCTCCTTTGCTTAAGCTGCCTGCATGGTTGTGTATAGATGGACTATGCCTCCCACGGCCATGCCACTCCTTTACTTGGCTTTGTGCATCCTGCAGCACTTACAACAGGAGTTCCATCCTTGAGAACCACTTTCTTACTCCTTACATCCTCATCCCTAGAGATGAGTTTAATTCAATAACACCCTGTGCAAATCAGTACCGTTATTCTGAGCATATTTATCTACATTGTGCCTGGCATAATTATCTGCCTTTTCACCTTTCCTCCACTAGATGGCAGTCTAGAAGCCAGTGGCCATGTTGGTGTGTTTTCACTTTCAGGCCCACATTACCGAGCACAGTGACTTTCAGTATAACAAGGGCATTCAAAAATGACTAAAAAACGAAGTCAATAGATAGCTATATTTCAAAGAAATATGTGATGAGGAGAAATCTAATTGTGAAGCCATTTTTAATTCTTCAAAAGAAAGGTAACGTATAAATTAATTGATCATATTTCTATTTCAGCCTTCTTGAGGTAGATGGCGCCACCTTACAAAAGTAGGACAATCGCCTTGGGGTTTTTTTGTTTTTCTGTTTTTTTCTTTCCCTCCCACATCTCATTTTACTAACTCAAGAGGTCAGTCAAGTCTCTGCCTATTCCCTCACCCACAGGTATCTTGCCACCTGGAAAAGTTTAAAGATGGGAAAGTGGTGCTTATTGTTCTAGGAATTTCACGGTCAAAAAAATATTTACAGATGCTAAACACATTTGTGTGTGCTGTGTGTGTTAATGCATGCCTAAGTGTAATGCTTATCCCTGAAGAAAGTGTCTTTAAAAACCATCTACTGACCACAGGATAATTATTATACCCCCGGTAGTAGTTACTGTTAAAACATGTGTGCATTTTGCTGAGAAAGAAAAAGAGGTTCCTTGCCAACACTTCTCCTATCTTTCTTTTTTCATGGCCTCAGAGCTCCACGGTGAAACTGAGGATTTCCAACTCTGCTAGCTGTGTCGGAGCAAGCGAACTGCACTAACGAGCATCGTGCCACAGTATTTCCAGCCCTCACAAATATGAGGGCATACCTGAAGGAAATGACTGAAGGCAAGGGCTCTGGAATCAGATGGCTTGAGTTTAAAGCTGCACTCTTTACTTGCTGGCCAAGTGACCTTGGACAATGTACTGAAATGACGTCTTCCTCAAAAACCGTATCTGGAAAACGGGGACAAATTAGTATGCCATTCATAAGGCTTTTGTGAGGATTCGATGACATAATCTATCCAAAGTATGTAACTTGCAAATGTATTACTTTCGTTACTTGCTCTTTTCCTGTCTCCCCATATGGGACTCCAGCCTCTTAAAGAATTCCACTTGCCACAAAAATGAAGTGCGATGGCCATTTAGCTGTCCCGAAATTGCCCTGTCTCTCTCCTCTGCTTTAACTCCTTGACAACCTATCCACCCCCTTCACCTCCCAGTGTCCTCCAGGTACCTCCACTGTCATGGGGGAGCCCCTTAGGTGCCAAACCTGATTTGAGAAAGTGATATGAAGTACCAAGACTTTGATCCTGGTACCCTAAGGTCTAACGGAGTTTTTGTAAAATAGCTCTTTCAGATGTCACTGATGATATACCATCAGCGCCACCCCACCCCCAGTGGATCCCACCCAGTCCATAAGGATTGGGCTAAGGACAAAGCTAAGGAAACAACACAAAGTATCTGGAATCAACCCTTGCTTCTGCCTTTCTAGGTCAAGCTAAAGGTACCAAGGGGTAAATTAACTCCTAGAACATTCTTTAGTTCCCTCAAAAAATGGACATAATTTTCTGGACATACCTCACATGTCTGAACCCAACTGCTGGTTGGTAAATACAGCTTTACTCAAGAGGCAATGCTCTCCCTTGATATAAGAACATTCTTCCTTGGTTATTCCAAGCCAAACTCTTTCAAACTACTTGGCAGCTCCATATTTTCAAAGAATTATAATAAAGACAAATAGGAAGGTTCTAGGTTGGTAGTTTGGAAACTAAATTCATTTTCCCACTGAAACAGTATCAGAAGAGGCAACTATGATCTCTCATATTCTAAGTCCTTGGTGAGTTCTCTTAAGGTCTGAGCCAAGTTCCTTGGTGGAAAAGATAAAAGAGGTAAGAGAAAACAGGGGTCATACCTCCTATCATGCAGATATTATTTCTTCTTGGGACTTGGGAAAAACCCCAGTCCTGGGCAGTGTGCTTCCCACTCACTACACAACCCACATACTCTCTCAGCCTCTCCCCTTGGGAGATTTCCCTTTGCAGGTTTCCCAAGGTTTTTTACTGTTACTTCTATTCGGGAAACCAGGGAAAATGTATGGTTTCTGTATACTTTTAAAGATATACAGTATGACTTGCTACTGATATTCCCCAGAAAGTCAGTGAACACAGATCTAAATCCTTTTCTCATTACACAATGCTGTCTTTATTAATTTTCCCACAAACTTTGTTCACCTGCCTCCAGACCTTGATTAGTTTGGGATATGTGGTTCCAAATCTCTCTCCTTTGGATAAAGAGGATCCTTTCCAGGGGCGGCTGAGTGGCTCAGTCAGTTGAGCATCAGACTCTTGATTTCGACTCAGGTGGTGATCTCATGGTTATAGAACTGAGCCCCATGTCGGGCTCTGCACTGATAGCATGGAGCCTGCTTGGGACTCTCTCTCTCCCTCTCTCTTGCTCTCTGCTTCTCTCTCTCTCTCTCTCTCTCTCTCTCTCTCTCTCCCTCCCTCACCCTCTCTCCCTCTCCCTCTCAAATAAATAAATAAACATAAAAAAAAAAGAGGGTCCTTTCCAAAGCTTCTCTTATCTTTCTTTTTTACCTAAACTCAGGGCAAATAGAAAAATAGGCTAGGACTAAGATAAAGGAAAACTAATCTTAAATTTCAGAGAAAACTCAAACAACTATCCCATGAGTATCTTCCTTTATCACAGTATTTCTTCATCAAAGTTACAAGCACCCCATGAGAACAGGCCACACAGGTGTCTGGCAGAGGTGAAAGGGAGGATGCCAGAGAAGAGGAGTTCAGTGTTGCTATTATTTCTGTTGCTACTACATCGGCTAGGGATGAGGATGATGATACTAAACCCAGGTGCTTGACATTATTTATATGCTCCCGTGAGTCCAAATAGATACTCTTATCTTCACTTTTCAGATTCAAAAATTCTAGTCCAAAGTAATAAGTGGTAAAACCAGAAGTTGAATGCTGTGCTCAGTCACCAGTAGGCTGCTGTCTGACTTGATGATAAAACCAGCCTACTGATGAAGAGAGCAGATGTTGACTGAGGTTTGTTCTTACTACCTTCTCTTGCCCTTTCCCCTACATGTCCTGACGTTGCCTACGGTAGCAGCCAGCACTTACTACAATGCTACAGAATAAAACACTGTAAACTCAGTAGCTTAAAACAGCAATCACACGCACATGTGCAGGTCAGTTGGGGTTGGCCGATCTGTGCAAGTTGGGTCGAGGTCTGTCCCGTTCATCCTCCCCAGACCAGAGGGGCTAGCTGGAACATATTCACTTCATGGAATTGACATGAGTAAAGGAAGACAAGCCTAGCCCCATGTGCATATATGAAGCCTCTGCTTGCATCACATCTGCTGACATCCCATTGGCTAAAATAAATCTCATGGCCAAGCCCAAACTCAAACAGAGAGGTAGAGGTGAGTCACTATGAAGCCATAGCAAGGGATGTAGCATACTAATAGAGATAAAGGATTATAACCACTAATTTAACCTACACACCCAAACCGCAGATAAACAAATAAAGATGCCAAGGAGGACCTGATCAAAGATTTGGAAGGTGGCTCCCAGATCATGGAGATCTGTAGCAGCAAGGAGTAAGAGGTGAGTGGCTGAAAAAGATGGAATGGGAAATCCCTAGAAAAGCAAGTTTAAAAGAAGGGGAATGACTCATCACCGGGCTTGTTTTGCAGCTTTGGGAACCAACATATGGATTTCTGTATCTACAAGCCTTGCAAGCCTGGCACTCACAGAAATTCCAGGCACATCTAACAGGCCAGAATTGCTCATTGCCACAGACAGAAAATGAGAAAAAGAAAATATTTTCCACACTTCTCTATTTCTTTATTGTTTGTGTTCTTTGGGGTGGATTACCTCTCAAGATATGTGACTAAAGTGAAGCTCCACTGAAGTGTAACACGTTAGATCTCAACAACTTGCAAAATCCAGGCTTTGTTGGTTTCCAAACACTAAGAAAATTTCACATTTCCCTGTTACTATATAAAAAAATGTCAGCTGGATGAGACCATGGGCATTCAAAGGAATTCAAAGGAATAACAATATATTCGACAAACTTTAGTTGCCTGTTACAAAACACCAAAGGTAGCCAAGCATGAAACACTATTTTGTTTTCTCTCACAATGTTTATAATGATACTATGGGCCTGGCTATTTTCCCATAAGCTTTCACTGAAACTTAACTGTAAACTATTTTCTATTTGGCAAGTAAATATTTAATTACTCATCTAAAATATATATTACCCCAGGTATTCAGTGGCCGGCTTATGAGAATCACAAATGATGGCCAAAGAGTTGTATACTCAGTTTAATATCCCAAGGTATAATTTTAGAGTGAAAGTGGTTGGGATAAAAACTTTGGTTTTTATAGAGGCAGCATAGTTTTCTAGAAAAATCTCTGGTCCCTGCTCTGTCATTAACTAGCTCTACCTTGGGCAATTCATTTATGTGGAATTGAAGGCTTTTAACCATCTGACGCCAACTAGCTTCTCAGGAAGTATTTTCAACTTCTCATTTAGTTCCAGCCCTCGTCCCTTCTCCTCTCCCATCTTGCTCCCTTTTCATTCCATTATTTTGCAGAGCAATTAATCCATTTCTTTGCAGAGTACCCCTTGGCTAGTCTTACTCTTCACTCTCAAAGGGGTCTTGGGGGCATTTTCCAAAACAAAGTAACAGCTCTCCTGATGTAAATTTTCCCCTGGTGTTAGTGTATCAAAGTCCTTATTTTTAATAGAGTAGCAAATTTTTCTTCTACTGACATCAGTACAGTAGGCTTTGAATGAGCTTATTGAGTAAATGAAAAATAATTTTTTAAGTTTATTTATTTATTTTGAGAGAGAGAGAGCGCACACATGCATGAGTGGGGGCGGGGAGTGGGGGGCAGAGAGAGAATCCCAAGCAGGCTCCGCACTCGAACCGCAAGATCACGACCTGAGCTGAAATCAAGAGTCAGACGCTTAAACAACTGACCCACCCAGGTACCCCAATAATTTTTGCTTTTATACCTATCATGTTTTGACTACCAATATGACTTAAGCATTTTTGCAAATTCTCACATAATCCTTGCTCTAACCTTACTAACAAAGAATCTGTGGGGAAAATTGGGCTCAGGGAAGTTGTTTGTTGCCAACTCAGGACTTCTGCTTCTCTGCAATATGGAGGAGAACTTAAGATAACATTTCCCAAACTTACTTTCCCCATATCTTGAGGATTTGCCAATCACAGGTATTCTCATGAGACTGGGAAGGCAAAAGAGAAAGAGAAGCCATTATTTGACAAAAGTAGTTGCTGTCAGACATACAGACCAGGGATCAGCAAACTTTTCCTGTGGTGGGCTAGATACTAAATATTTTAGTTTTTGCAGGCCATGGTATCTCTGTCGCAACTACTGAAGTCTGCCATTGCAATGCAAAAGCAGCCACACGTACTATATAAACACATAAGTATAGCTAAGTTCCAATAAACCCTTATTTGTGGATATCGAAATTTGAATTCCAGGTAATCATCACATGTCACAAAATATTATTCTGCTTTTGTTTTTGTCAGCCACTTAAAAGTGTAAATCCATTCTTAATCCAAACATGCAGCAGGCCAGATTTTTTCAAGGGTCGTAGTTTGGTGGCCCTTCCCATGGAGAGTCAGCAGGTAAGATTCCCAGGGGCCTCTGAATGAGCTTCTAAGATCCACCCACTTCAGTGTGTCAGGATAAAACTCTCAGAAATGGCTTCTCTGGTTCTGGTCCCCTAGCCTTTCCCATGGTTTATAGATCCTTAATTCCCTGTATTCAAACCCTTCATGCTTCACATATACAAAGTGACTTCTGCTTTAATGACCAAACTCATACTGAACAATATGAACATTTCATTGGCAGCAGTTTCAGAGAAACAGAACCTCAAAGAAGAAACTTTGGACTTTGTTCTATGATGTGAAAGAGGTTAAAGGAAGTTACAACCTCATCGCTGGTAGAAAGTGAGACTTTTTGGTACACAACATGCAGTAG